TACGTTATTCAAAATTTAGTTTGAGATTCGACTCTTAACGACTCGTAATAGTGTCCTGTGATTTCCTCCAGACAACTTACAGAGATCTTGTAAGTCACAGAGCACGCTACCGGCATCGACCCCGGTCTATTTCTGATGAGCGAAGGCCGCATTCAATAAACAATGCGCCAGCAGGTGTGGAGCAAACACTATTAATATGTAATATTTGAAGAAGGGCCGAGGAATGTAAGAGTTTTCTGCCTAACTTTCCATATAAGATTTTTATCTTCCGCGTTCCATTTCAACTAAAATAGGGAAAATATGGTCTCAACGCGACATTTTTATATGTGTTACTTAATGTACCATGTTTGAGTAAATGACTGAGTTTCTTGCGCTGCTTCTTCTCAGCACTCGCCTATTTATTGTCCTGAAGCAGTGGTAGGGTTAATACTGGGACGTGTAAAAGTCCGGCAAACACTTGTAACGTGAGGTTTGCTGTTTACTTCTTGAATATCGAAGTTATTATTATAAAGGTCTTAAAGGCTTAGGTTACAGTACAATATATAAACCATAATCGGATGAATGCGGGTTCGTACCCTACATTACATAATTCTAATTAAAATTTTAAAAGTTTTATGAGTTTTATGATTCCTTAATATAAAAATAATTCTTATGTGTTTTTTCGATTGTTTATAAATGTTACGATCAATAGTACTTTCAAAACTGCATAAAATTTTACTGTCACATTCAGTGACACAGCGTACCTAGCAATTACTTAAATATAAATAAATTATCTTCGTATTCGTTTAAGCATAAATATGAGTTTCCCTACATCCTACATATTCAATAAGTAGAGGTGTTAGAAATGATTGAAACACAAACATTTTAAACAAATATTTGTTAAAACAATTGATAAAAATAATATACGAGCACATAAACAAATTAAAAAATACCAGTAAGTGAAAAGATACATTATTAAAATATGATATGTATGAAAATATGAAAAATAATAACTAATTTTGTGTTTTTTGTGTAGCTCTAATCGCCCACCAATCTTTCTATCGACTGTGAATAATGCCATCCCAAAGTGGGGGTAGGATATTTTCAATTATATTTCACTGGTATACCATCACTGGCAACACACATTGGTCAAATACTTTCGACTTGAGACACTGCGGTATTTCGGACGTGAGTATATGGCGAAGCTTCCCGAACCGGACCTGGACCGACGATCTGGTAAAGGTCGCGGGAAGAGCCTGGATGCGGGCAGCGCAGGACCGTTCATTGTGGAAAACCTTGGGGGAGGCCTTTGTCCAGCAGTGGACGTCATTTGGCTGAAAGGACTCATCATCATTAGGTCATTCAGTCTTCACTGTAGGAACACGACCCTCTTTAGTTTACCAGAGGCAAATGGAGGACTTGGTCTACACTCCCCACGCTGGCCAGACAAATTGGGGAGGCATTTCAGTTTTACAAGTAATAAAATATTGTACCTCAATAATAAGTATTCTATACTATACATAGTTCCAAAATACTGAACTGTCCTATGCATGACATTGACAGTGGGGCGCCACCGTCAATACCGGATCGCTGGTTCCGATTTTTGCCATATTGGAAACCATATAGTTGAACGATGGTAGCGCCCCCCTGTCATTGAGTTTGGTGGCACAGTTCAGCTTGGGTCATCTATCTGGGGGCACGGCAGTGCCCCCGCCAAGTCGAGCGCGAAGCAAACACTGCCGTACCATCCTTTACTGGAACCATTTCGCCGCATTTTCAGGCCTCTATTTGAGAACCTTTAGATAAGACCAGAACGCAGAAATTTTCGTCATCTAGTAAGCTATAATCACACACTTAAAATCCAAAATTTCAAGTCTGTAGGTCAATTAGTTCCGAAGTTAAGCGAAAGCAAAGTTTCGCATTTATGACACTCACTCACTCACTGATGATCATCAAAATAGAACTAGTACTTCCCATTAACTCAGAGAGCTGAAATTTGGTACAGAGTTAGGGTTTAATGGCCACATAAAGGGAAAACTATCAAAACTAGGAAAATCGAAGATCTGGAGTAACACCACATTCATAATAATCAATACTACTAGCGCCACACCGGCGCCGTGGTGTTCGCCTGTACCGCTCACCGCTAGATGGCGCTAGCACTTTGAGCGTNAGCCAAGTCTCGATGGAGCTGCTTGTTTATCTCTAAAAAGTAATGAAATCTAGACAAAGTCGTGCCAAGTCTATGGTTCTTTACTGCGATTTCTTTTTTATTATAGTTAATGTTGTGTGACTTGGCCGTTGAACAATCTTTATTAAGATAATCAATAATTATGCATAAGTATTATTGAAATACGCAGCTTTATTAAGCCTACAATTCACTGGTTATTAAATCAACGTTTTCCAAGTGGCAATTTTCCATCGTCAATGGGTAGTGGTTCTGGCAACAGATTGGTGCAATGGTGTCATGGAGCACCTGGTTTTGTACCCTTCAACGGCCAAGTCACACAACATTAACTATAATAAAAAAGAAATCGCAGTAAAGAACCATAGACTTGGCACGACTTTGTCTAGATTTCATTACTTTTTAGAGATAAACAAGCAGCTCCATCGAGACTTGGCTAGTTTTTTACAGAATGTTTTTGGTGGGATACGTTTTTTTTCAGAAATCAGAAATATTTATTTGCTTTTACATGGTTTTACAAGATATTATTATTACAATTGGCATGTCCACATGTTGACTTAATTAGTCATGCAAATATTGAGAAAAAAAAATGTAAGTACAAAATAACAATAATAAATTACAGCGTTTGAATGTCAGGATTATTATTACAATGGATTATATTAACATGCTTTACAATAAATAATTCTAGTCGAGAAAGTTAAATAGTCTGTTAGTCATAATAATTTGTCGTCAAAGTATTCTTGTACTGAGTAATAGCATTTATTCTAAAGCCAGATATGGATCTTTTTTTTAAACAACTCTAGTTTCTTTTTTTAAAGTGTCATAATTTGTATGAGTCATTCTGAACACAAATGTCAGAAATGTTACGTTGAATCTCTAAAATATTTTGAGGATAGGTAAAAAATGTGTCTGGGTTTGTTGAAATGCAGATGTTTACTCTATAACTTATACTGTTTTATACAAAATATGAAGGTTATTGGATCTAATCTAGTATCTCTTGAAATATCTGAATTATTATTAGACTCAGTGCTTTGCTTTCGGTTTCGCTTGTATCAAATACCTGCTATTCTAAAAAGAATGACAATGTAAAATCTATTAGGGCTCTTTTCCACAAAGTAATGCAGTATCCCGCAAAACTGGACTGTCTTGTAAACACACAAGTGTGTAAAATAGTCAGACACGGGCCTTAACGCGACGTTTATTAATGAGTTACATTATGTACTCACGGCTTGACGTTTCGGCTGCTATGCTGCAGCCGTGGTCACAAGCAGACTCTTAAAATCTTATACATTTATACACAAATATGTGTTTAAAATTCGAATCCCTAAACCGTTCGATCTTTTGCGGGACTCTACAAACGGGATTTTCACTTGAACGCTAATATTAAAACACGGATCCTGCAATAACAGTCCTGCAAAAAACGGGATGTCTCCGGGAAGGAGCCCTTAGGAGTTAACAAAAGAAGTTCTGAACTCAAGAAATCGTGGGATTTTGATTAAAAAAATCTTTAGCCTAGGCGCAGACTAAAAATTTTTGCCGTCCGATAGTTTAGTCGGGCAGTTAATCAGTATGGGCATGTATGGAAGAGCGCACATAACACCGATTGATTCTTCATACAAATTAGAATCGGCTTATACATTCCTACGCATCCATTAAGCTACTCGTGACTCTAAAAATATTCTGAAAATGACTATTACTTAGTTCGGAAAATTCGCAAACAACTTCTGTCATACGAACGTCAGCAAGTGGGTCAAATTGTATAGTTTGACCCAGTTTTAAGAGAAATACATAAATAAGCATTCCCAACTTCCTCAGGGGTCCCTAAGTAGAGTACTTACTTATGTACGGACGACAGCACATCAACCTAAACACAGTGGCGTCTTATCTCGTTGTAATACAGGCTATTTTGCAATTAAAATGTATAGGTTGATGTGCTGTCGACTGTACAAACAAGAAAGCTTAGCAACTTTTCTGGAGGAGCTTTAATCTTGGGCCTTGTNAGGTACATCAGTAGCAGTAGTGTTTATAATTTAGTAGTTCTAAGTTCTAACATTAAGTAAGTGCCCAACGTTGGAAATACGATCACCACCACAAAATAAGTGGCACGGCAGGCACGTAGGTTTGATCATTAAAACCGAGGAAATGCGTAGGTAAAAGATAATGAACACCGTATTTGTTGACCACGACGCGGACGAATAGTTTTGTCGATTAATAAATCAAAAAGTAATTGTACCAATTAGATAGATCGTAGCTGACTATTTTATTTCTCGAACAAAACTCGAAGATAATAACGATGGTAAAAATCGAGCTAATGTGTAAACAGTATTCGAATTTTATTGTTGCACTAAACGATGGGGCGATGGATCAAAGGATAGTATTAATTTTTAAAAACAAGGTAAAATGGATTTAATCTTTATCTAAACAAGCAATCTTATTATCTCTAAATCTCGCTAATATCAAAAACACTTTTTGTCGGTACATTTTTCCACTGTTCTTAAGAGATTCCAAACTTGAATCAACCCGATTCATCAAAAAATCAATCAACAATAATTCTGTAGTTCAGAGAACACGTTAAGCCGGTACGATTGATCCATGTCAAACGCCTATGACTGCTCATAAAGTTATTAGGATTTGACTGAGACGTGTAAAAGCGCTTTTAAAAACCTGATTGAAAAAAATTATCACTTCTATAACTACATGACCAAGTAGATATTGGCGTCTTTCTTACAACACACACGATAGAAGAAGAACCAGCAAAATAGCTGATACAAAACCTGATTAAAACGTTTCCAAAAATAATGATGTATACGCAATAATACGAGGAATGTAAGAGAAAATCTCACCTGTTATGTTCAATAAGGCACGCGTAGAAATAAACATGGACAAGGTAAAACGAGAAGTTGATCAGCGTGAATAATGTATCTTTCCACTCACTTGTAGTGTATCCGAAGTCGTCTTCTTGCTCTGGGTCTGCTTCCTTTTCTTCTTTGCTGCGCTTGATGGCGCCTGCTGAGGCCCGGTCGATCTGTGGAGAATATAGTACTGTAGAATATTTAAATTTTTATAAATGTCCCATTCCCAGATTGTCGTGAATCTTAAATTGTCAGTCTTTTAAGTGGTGGATGCGAGAAAAATATATAACGTTTGTTTTTGTAATTATCTGATTTAAAACTGTAACTGCCTTAAAATACTTGTTTAGTACGGCTTCACTCGCTAGGATTTCGGGCTGAAGCCCCGCAACCAAAGTCGTCAGTTGTACTGTCGTACAATAAATTTTAAACACTAGAACCTTCTTCATATCAGAAGAAATTGTGAAAATCTGCATTATACAATGTATGATGCAGATATTCACAGTTTGTTATCTACTTCATCCGTGGTTTAAATTATTCTTTTTCTTCTCTGCACATGAATAACAATAAAAAATAATCTATATTAGTTTAGGCTAAAGTGGGAAACAAAGTAGACTGTGTATTCTTACATGTAATTGAAAACTTACTTGTGAAGAAATTAATAAAGATTTATTTATTTATTTATTTACTTTCCTGACCCTACAATAAAACTGTGCTTATCCATATTTTTCAATGTACTGATGTAATGTATTTTAAGCAATGCTTTTGAGGTGTTTGTTCTAAAATATCAATAATTTTCAATTAGAATCAGATAACTTCTAGCAAAGGGTGACTTACCTCAACTCCTTTGTCAGAGTAAGTCCTGCCTTGCAACTCTCTTTCATCCTCCTCATCGCTGCTCTCCGAGTCCGAGTACACCGGCTTCGGTTCTGGCTGTTCTTCTGATGTTGTTTCTCTTTCTGACTCCTTCTCTGTGATAGAGTCTATCTCTTTTTCGTTTTCAAGGTCTGGTTCTGACACTGTTATCTATAAGGAATAAAAATGGGGTTAGTAATGTACCTTGAGACAAACTTAGTATTTTTCGTAAAAATATTCTTATTAGAAAAAGGTCATAAAACTTAACACCAGTATCCGAAACTGTTATCTGAATAGACAAGGAATAGAAATGGACTTAGTAATGTACCCTGAAGCACACTACCTCTTATTATTTGCACAAATTCTTAGCAGAAAAAAATCATAAAATCGAACACCAGAGTCCCCATTCGCCCGGGTCGATTTGCTGAAGACATCGTAATCAAGGCAGAGACCTTCCCTAAAAGACAAGTCTGCTATGATTTTAAGCAGACTTGTCAACTGGGAAAGAGATCAACACCGTATCGCCTTTCGCACGCTGGCAATTACAAGGCGAGGCGTTTACATTACGGTGCGGATAAGTGTGCGTTGCAATATAGAGTTTCATACAAAGAATACTGATCGTCTCGAGTTGATACGCTCACGATCCCTTTCCAGGTTGATAAGTGTGTTACGTCCTTTAACCTTACTCATTACCTTCATGTCAGGCATGTTGCCTTACCTTAATTTCATGTCTAGGGGTTTTCTCAGCCACGGGCGTAGGACACGGCGACTTCTTAACGGACCTCGCGGGCGAAGCCGCGGGCGGAGACGCGTCTACGTCTGACGAGTCTGTATTCTGGACAACAGAAAAACGATCATCACATCAGACACCAGTGTCTTACAATGATATGGCTGTTGACCTTGGTCGAGCATTTGATAGACCTTAAGTCGTGCTTAAGTTAATTTACTGTAGAGAAAGAGACAAATAATCGATTTCTTTACCAAAGATTTGGATTTTAATGATAAACTTGAGTAACCAAAATCCATGAAATCTGAGCTGACGTCTTCCTACAGATTAGATTTTTGTAGGTAGTATGCAGGTAAATAGGTGTTTGACAGTTTAACTATCCCCCGGGAAAAACTTTCTCCACATTTTAATGGCGATCAAGCTATAGATCCTGGCTACACAAGAGTTACAACAGTGGGAACGAGATTTGCGATTAGTCGCGTAGTAATTTTTTTATACATATTCTTTAAGCGCCTTTTTGACACAAACATATGCGTGTATAGTTTTAAGTCCCTTTGTTCTATTTCTTATCTTGTCTTGCCTTGCCTTGCCTTGCCTTGCCTTGCCTTGCCTTGCCTTGCCTTGCCTTGCCTTGCCTTGCCTTGCCTTGCCTTGCCTTGACTTGTCTTGTCTTGTCTTGTCTTGTCTTGTCTTGTCTTTTCTTGTCTTGTCTTATCTTATCTTATCTAATCGCTTACCCAAGCTATAAGACTTTGCACAGTCAGCGTGACCTTATCCCCGGCCGCTTTGATCAGCTGAACTGCTCTCTCGTGCTGCGCTGACCTCACACACACTCCGTCCACCTCCAAGATCCTGTCTCCGGTCTGCACAGAAACAGAAATATAGTGACCACTTGCACCAGTCTCAAATATAGCTTGCCCTGGCACAACTTCGGGGTAACATGCTGCCTGGTGCTGAGAAGTGAGATGGAAGAAACTGTCAACTCAACTATCACAATAACTTCTTAAGTTTTTACCCAGCCACTAATATCACAGAATACATAATAGTAGCAATACACACTAGACTATCTTGCTCGCTAGAAAACTAAATACTGTTTTAAATTAATCGAAAGTACGCGGCACCTAATTTATTGATGGCAAGTCAAAAGTTACTTCTCAATACGGGTGGCATCTAGTGTTGTTTTGGCAAAGACAATACTAAATCACGGTTACCGACAAAAAAACAAAAAAATTGCAAATGTAGTGTAAAATGCGCATGTAATTATGAAAGTACATTGATTGAATATTTTGTTATATTCGAAATTTCAATACCGTAAGTCTCATACTTTTTAAAATATCTTGATGTAAAGTGGAGCAAACATTTTGACAGCGTAACAATACCCCACATTGAGAGGCGCACTTTGGTTTCCAATAGCCTGTAGGGAAGGGGTTGAACTGTTTTTGTGTGATGTGTATAATTATACAATACCTTAATTCTCACTATAACCACNTACATCATAGATATATATTCATCACTTTCCTACACCGGACCCAATTGAAGTTATGCCTTTCGCACGATAAGGAAGACTATAATTTTCTTAGCCGCACGGTAAGCGAGACGTACACAAGGTCTATAGACCTGGTTTCGCACTCAACGTGTTAACATATGACGCTCTTTATTTCTTCTGCTATATTAACCACTAGCGGCTGCCCGCGACTTCGTGCGCGTGGACCTCGTTTTCCCCCTTTAGGGGTTGAATTTTGCAAAATCCTGTCTTAGTGAGCACCTACGTTCTAAAAGGAACCCCTATGCAAAATTTGAGACTCCTAGCACTTTTAGTTTCTGAGATTTCGTGATGAGTTAGTGATCTTTGGGTCCCCGCCGCCGCTCGACTATTGTGGTGAGCTTACTCGTGACATAAGCATATTCAGCTTAGTACGAGGGGATAACGGGACTATTAGTAATTTGTGAAATAACAAATTACTAATAATCTTTTAAAAAAAAGATTAAGGCGATCTAATCATCAGCCTACACATTTTTGTTGCAAAATCGCACCTGCTTTACACCCGATTGATGAAGAAGAAAGTAAAGGTAGGTAGGTATAGAATAATCTTCAGTCTGCGTCAATGTGAAAATTTTATAAGGAAATAAAGAAATAACAATGTCCTTATTGAGATAATGTCCTAATTTGTTAAACAGCTTAACTTCAAAATAGTTATTTTGGTCCCACTGAGAAGTAGATCGTTAGCACGGTTAATCTTTTTATGAAAATAAGGGCCAATACTGCGTAGGAAGGAGGTAAATTAGCAGAGTTAAGGAACAAGGAAAGGTATAAGAAGATTAAGTTCTTCTCGTACCTACTTAATTGTTTTATTTTAGATTTTTGTATGAGTGGGAAGCACTTTTCCTGAAGAAAATAAAGAACTTTTTCCGAAAGAGTTTGAGTATGAAAAATATTTTTTGAGAATAAAATAATGTTTGTTGTATTAAAAAGCGTGTTAAAAAAGTTCGATTTAGACTATATTTTCGTAATACTTTGTTTCAAAGATGTTGCGAATCCAGAAACAACCAAAAAATGTTGTACACCGATCCAGCTAACAAACGGTTAGGTCATCGGTTAGATCAATTAGGTACATCAGTAGCAGTAGTGTTTATAATTTAGTAGTTCTAAGTTCTAACATTAAGTAAGTGCTCAACGTTGGAAATACGTAGTTATTAAATTTTTAGCGTTTAGAGTCGCATCTCAAACTAATTTGAAAATTATAAATAACTTGAAAAAATCGAACTGCCTAAGGCGGGGATTGAATTGGGTTCAATTCCCGCCTTAGGCAGTTCGATTTTTTCAAGTTATTTATAATTTTCAAGTTGGAAATACGATCACCACTACAAAATAAGTGGCACGGCAGGCACGTAGGTTTGATCATTAAAACCGAGGAAATGTGTAGGTAAAAGATAATGAACACCGTATTTGTTGACCACGACGCGGACGAATAGTTTTGTCGATTAATAAATCAAAAAGTAATTGTACCAATTAGATAGATCGTAGCTGACGATTTTTATTTCTCGAACTAAACTCGAAGATAATAACGATGGTAAAAATGGAGATAATGTGTAAACAGTAGAATTTTATAGCTGCACTAAACGATGGAGCGATGGATCAAAGGATAGTATTGATTTTCAAAAACAAAGTAAAATAGGTTTTATCTTTATCAAAACAGGTAATCCTAAAAAGATCACTGATATTAAAAACTCATTTTGTATGTTTTTTTCCCACTTTGCAGAGATCCATGCCGATTAATCAACAAAATCAATCAAAAATCATTCTGTAATTCAAAAGAAAGTTAAGCCGGTACGATTGATCCATGTCAAACGCCTATGACTGCTCATAAAGTTATTAGGATTTGACTGAGACGTGTAAAAGCGCTTTTAAAAACCTGATTGAAAAAAATAAATCACTTCAAATAAGTAGATAATGTCGTCACTCTTACAACACACACGATTAAAGAACCAGCATCAACAGTTGATACAAAACTTGATTAAAATGTTTCCAAAAATAACGATGTAAATGATACAAGAACTGCAGGAAAAATCTCACCTGTTATGTTCAATAAGGCACGCGTAGAAATAAACATGAACAAGGTAAAACGAGAAGTTGATCAGTGTGAATAATGTATCTTTCCACTCACTGGTTGTGTATCCGAAGTCGTCTTCTTGCTCTGGGTCTGCCTCCTTTTCTTCTTTGCTGCGCTTGATGGCGCCTGCTGAGGCCCGGTCGATCTGTGGAGGATATAGTACTGTAGAATATTTAAATTTTGATAAATGTCCCATTCCCGGATTGTTAAGGAATCTTAAATTGTTAGTTTTTAAATGGTCGGTGGGAGAACAATATATAACGTTTGTTTTTGTAATTATCTGATTTAAAACTGTAACTGCCTTAAAATACTTGTTTAGTACGGCTTCACTCGCTAGGATTTCGGGCTGAAGCCCCGCAAGCAAAGTCGTCAGTTGTACTTTCGTACAATAAAGTTTAATCACGAACAATACACTCGAATCTTTTTCATATCAGAAGAAATTGTGAAAATGTGAATTCTCCAATAAAATGTGCCTATTTTCTTATCCAATCTATCCGTAGTTAAAATTAATCGTTTTTCTCTACACAAGGATATTAAATAAACAATAAAAAATAATCTATATCAATAATAATCTATACTTAAGTGGGAAACAAAGTAGACTATGTTTACTCATTTTATTTTCCTGACCCTACAACAAAACTATCCTTATTCATATTTTTCAATGTACTCCACATTTTAAGCAATACCTACTTTTGAGTTATTGTTGTCTGTACTAAAATATGAATCGTTTGCAACATTACGTCCAGCAATAGTTGATTTTTTTTAACTTACCTCAACTCCTTTGTCAGAGTAAGTCCTGCCTTGCAACTCTCTTTCATCCTCCTCATCGCTGCTTTCCGAGTCCGAGTACACCGGCTTCGGTTCAGGCTGTTCTTCTGATGTCGTTTCTCTTTCTGACTCCTTCTCTGTGATAGAGTCTATCTCTTTCTCGTTTTCTAGATCTGGTTCTGACACTGTTATCTATAAGGAATAGAAATGGGCTTAGTAATGTACCTTGGGGCACACTGACTATTATTCGTACACATTTCTCTTGTCTGTACCTTTGTCACTGTTCTCTTTATGGAATAGAAATGGACTTAATGATGTACCTTGAAGCACACTGCTTTTATTGTTTGTACAAATTAGCTTAGCAGAAAAATCATAATCATAATAAAATCTAACACCAGAGTTCCAATTCGCTCAATTCACTTGAGTCGATTTGCTGGAGATATCGTATCAAGGCAGAGAACTTACCTAGAAGACCTAGGTACAATACTTACGGCCGAATACTGAAACGCCATTTAAATATTTGACGGCTTCTCAAATAGTTAAGCAGCTCCTAAACTTACATTTCGCATACTCAAAACAATATCTGAGCACTTCTCAATTTTTAAGCACCTCTCAAATTAAGTTGCACTCAAACTCCACTTAAATGAATTTTCGCATACTGAAACGCCATTCAACGCTAAGCATTACTCAAACAACTGTCAAATCGTCTTAAGCAGCTGTTAAATTTGAGAGTGCTTGCGCGGTATCTTAAATCCTATTCTTATACCTAAATCGACCAAAATAGTGGTAAATAATGTGTGTCATCGTTATCATTTCTTTCGAGCCTCGAGGAAATACCTAGATCTAATCGCAGGAATGCAATAAGGCTGAACGCTATTGAAAAATATTATTATAATGACATGCAACTCCGAGCGAGGTTCCGCGTCTCTAAAGAAACGGTGTTGTTTCTGGATTCATAATTTGGAAGCTCTTTGAAACCCCTCACCAAATGCCATACAACCAGTGGACCAAATACTTATTATAACCCTACTGTTCTACGCAACGGGAAGTTATGAACGTGTACTAGGTGATATCTTCCACATCTAACAGCCAACTGTGCATCGTATAGTGCACGAAGACACGAAGTAACAACCAAAATAGCTGCTATGAAATCGCTTTACATAAACATGCCTATTTCTGAGGATTAAGGGGACATCGCATAGCAGCATTTCCAAGAGTTGTTGATTTGTCAATTTGATGCTCTGTCAACAAATGTCAATTGTGGTTACGTTTCGGTCCACGATCGCTACTTAATAGATTTTAACAATAAAATGTATCACATTTAAAATTATTTTTTTAATTAAATAAAAATGCAAGCATTAATTTTTATATGATAAAACGAGATTTATATATAATAGAAACTAAAAATAAACTGTTCTATGTTAAGTTGATTGAGTATATTTCCATAAAAGACAATACATAACCAAACGATGCTGCGTGTAATGGATAAAAGACGTAAAGTTATCATTTGTGTAAATGAAAACATACTTTTTTTGGTAAATGTTGCCATTATGTAAACATTTGAGAGCTGCTTAGCTGATCACGGCTTCAAATCCGTTGAGTAGCGTTTGAGAATACCATTTAAAATTGAAGGATACTTAAATTTAGGAGCCATTCAGCTGAGTGACAGATTTGAGTAGTGTTTCAGTATTCGGCCGTTAAGGCCATAGCAGACTCTTATGAACTCAGAAAGGGATCAACACCGTCTGTCATCGCCTTTCGCGCGCTGTCAACCGCGAAGCGAGGCGTTTACATTACGGTTCAGATAAGTGTGGTTTACGTGACATTGGCGAAATCATGGTTCTCAAAACCAAGCCGTCGCCAAAATAAAAGAAGAAGAAGAAGCAGATAAGTGTGCGTTGAAGTATGGAGTTTAATTCAAAGAATACTGACCGCCTCGAGTTGATACGCTTACGATTTCTTTCCGGGTTGATAAGTGTGTTACGTTTAACCTTACTTTCATTAGCTTCACGTCAGGCATATTGCCTTACCTTAATTTCATGTCTAGGTGTTTTCTCAGCCACGGGTGTGGGACACGGCGACTTCTTGACGGATCTCGCGGGCGAAGCCGCGGGCGGAGACGCGTCTATGTCTGACGAGTCTGTATTCTGGACAACAGAAAAACGATCATTACATCAGACACCAGTGTCTTACAATTATGGGTGTTGACCTTGGTCGAGCATTTAATAGACCTTATTTCGTGCTTAAGTTAAGTTACTGTAGAGAAAGAGACAAATAATCGAATTCTTTACCAAAGATTTGGATTTTAATGAAAATCTTGAGTAACCAAAATCCATGAAATCTGAGCTGACATCTTCCTACATTATTAGATTTGTATGTGTAGATATAGTAGGTAGGTAAGTACGTGTTTCACAGTTTAATTTTCCCCCGGGACAAACTTGCACCACACTTTAATGGCGTTCAAGCCGTAGATCCTGGCGACACATGAGTTACAACAATGGGAACGAGAAGTGGGAATAGTTGCGAAGCTATTTTTTTAAATCGTTCGTTTTAGCCAAATGACGTCCACTGCTGGACAAAGGCCTCCTCCAAGGTTTTCCACAATGCACGGTCCTGCGCTGCCCGCATCCAGGCTCTCCCCGCGACCAAGTTCTGCCCCAACGGCCAAGTGGCAGTGGGCGGGGCACATAGCTCGTAGAGACGATTTTTTTAAATACATAATAATATTCTTTAATCGCTTACCCAAGCTATGAGACTCTGGACAGTCAGCGTGACCTTATCCCCGGCCGCTTTGATCAGCTGAACCGCTCTCTCGTGCTGCGCTGACCTCACACACACTCCGTCCACCTCCAAGATCCTGTCTCCGGTCTGCACAGAAACAAAGTGACCACTTGTACATGACCCAAATATAGCTTGCCCTGGCACAACTTCGGGATAACATGCTGCCTGGTGCTGAGAAGTGAGATGGAAGAAACTGTCAACTCAACGATCACACACACTTTTTACCCAGCCACTAATATCACAGAATACATAATAGTAGCAATACACACTAGACTATCTTGCTCGCTAAAAAACTGAATACTGTTTTAAATTTATCAAAAGTAAATAGTTCTGATAGATGCCTTTTTATTTAAACTGTATTTATGTGATGTGCAATATCATACAATACCTAAATTCTCACTTTAACGGGATTTGTCAACAAATACTTTTAGTTTTAAAACGGTAAAAAGGTTCCCTTCTCGACGTTTCGACTCGGTCGCACGAGTAATGGTCGCGGTTTTGTGGTCGCGGGCAGACTGAAGAGATGCGGCGGCGTCTGCTCGGTCACGAAAATTTTTCTTCACCCACCCGCATTTGTACAATATTCTCGTCAATGGTACAGTCACTCCGAAAAACTACACTAACAGTGTCCGGGTTTCTTTGAGACTGTCTTAAATGCGATTTGCACTTCGCACTTTTCACCGGATTCCACGCTGATGATAGGTTAAATGCATCTTCTCGATTGAAATTCTTGTACCTAATTTTTAATTTGAATGACTTCACATAATGACAACCTAGTATGAGAGGATTTTTGGGTCATGAAGTTTTTATCTTTTTAAATGTGTTTGTTGCCAAATTCCGTTATATTGAGAATGTAGTAAAAATGCAACATGAAAGTTTATTTTTTTTATACAATACCTGTAATTCCCCACAGTTCCCCGCAGGGCTGTCAGGAACTACATTCTTGATGAAGATCCCGAAGATAGCTTTCTCTTCGCCATCTTCTCCATCGCGATTTGAGATGATGTCAACCTAGAGGTAAAATTATAAGAATTATATTAGTCCAGTCAATAAAGCATTATAGATGGAAAACTATAGAACACAAATTCTGACTTCAGGACTTTATTTAGACTAGTTAGGAGGTGAACATAGTAAAAGTCCCCACCCTTAGCCCTTGAGCCGGCGGGGAGAGGGGGGTTTAAAGGTGCCACTTTTCGGTTTTTCGCTTAATCCTCGGAAACTATGCGTCCTAGTGACATGACTACTATGAACCAAAAAAAGCTTATTCAATTTGCTACAGGTGAGACCGTCAAGTTTTTCTATATCTTGTATAGTTTTTGCGGCATCTGCTCTAGAAGGTCTGTAAAATTGGAAATTTTATTTTTGTCTTACATGTTCTTTTCAGGAGAAAATCGACTAAATCAACATTGAGCAAACACTATAGACATGCGGGAGCATGTTAGGCCTAGTTCCAGGGAGGGGACTGCACCATGCGTATATTTAGACGAACCAATTAGAGCCACTTTTGACTCCTCGTCATTCAAAAACTACTGTGCATTAACACTTCAAATTTGGCTCATGTGTTGAGACTTGCAAGATATACATCAGTTTCAAATTTCACAAATATCCCTCAAACGGTTCTTTAGGTATTGGCGTCCAAAAATCTACATGTTTGACCTATAGACCAAATTCTAACCACTTCCAGATGACATCGAAGGTTCAAATTTGGCATCCAGAAAGGTAGTTATGTAAATATAAAGGAACAAATAAAAAACCAGTAAATTTTAACATTTCACATGTTATAGATAGATGTTAGTGTTCTAAATGTCGATTTTTGAACGTCAATACCTAAATAACCGTTAGAGGTATATTTAAGAAATTTGAAGCTGATGTTTATCTTACAAGTCTCAACACATGAGCCAAATTTGAAGTGTTAATGCACAGTAGTTTTTGAATGATGAGGAGTCAAAAGTTGCTCCAATTGGTTCGTCTAAATATACGCACGGTGCAGTCCCCTCCCTAGAACTAGGCTTAACATGCTCCTGCATGTCTATAGTGTTTGCTCAATGTTGATTTAGTCGATTTTCTCCTGAAAAGAACATGTAAGACAAAAATAAAATTTCCAATTTTACAGACCTTCTAGAGCAGATGCCGCAAAAACTATACAAGATATAGAAAAACTTGACAGTCTCACCTGTAGCAAATTGAATAAGCTTTTTTTGGTTGATAGTAGTCATGTCACTAGGACGCATAGTTTCCGAGGATTAAGCGAAAAACCGAAAAGTGGTACCTTTAAACCCCCCTCTTCCCACCGGCTCAAGGGCTAAGGGCGGGGACTTTTGCTATGTTCACCACCTAACTAGGCTAAATAAAGACCCGATGTCAGAAATTGTGTTCCACGGATTTCTCTCTACACCGTCGTTAAGGCATTCATTGACTGGACTATATCTTTAACGACTTATTTGTAAATAACAAAAAATCACACAGTCGAATTAAGTACCTACCTCCTCTTTTTTTGAAGTCGGTTAAAAAGACATGTGACTTTTCAAAAATGAGGATCTTCTGTTAATCCATTTATTTATTTATTTACCCTCTGGCAATTTGTAGTGAGGGTAGGTTCCGAGTTCTAACAAGACCCATCTATGTATGTTAAGCACCTACAATTGCAATTGATTTGATTTGATTTGATCATCTTCGTCATGTGATATTACGAATTTTCTTTCAGATCCCTCCCATCTATGATACTCATAAATATTATGTTTAATGTACGAACCCTACTCCTAATGATCGAAACCTGCATTATTGTCTTTTAACGTCATTGTTATTACCTTGCCTCCAACGATGCTGACGCCCAACGGGGCCCCGGGGCTCCTCTTGATAGCCACCCGGCGCGGGGGGCCCCAGCGCTGCGCCGCGAGTGGGCCCCGCTCGGGGGACACGGTCACTGTCATCGCTGCCTGGACGTAGCTGTGGACAGCAGGCTTAAATGAGGATGTTGGCGACAGATATGGTGACACCGGTGCTAGGTTATGGTCTATGGACTAACAACGGTGTTAGCCATCTCGTTTTATACTGTTACCTGGCTTTATAAATGTGATCTAGATAAAAGTTTTTTTAAAGTCGTCGCATTTTCGTCGGTCCACCTAGTGGGAGGCCTGCCCACGCTACGTCTTCCAGCTCGTGGTCGCCACTCAAGAACTTTTCTGCCCCAGCGGCCATCAGCTCTTCGAGCTATCTCGATCTGGTGAAGGTCGCGGGAAGTACCTGGATGCAAGCGGCGCAGGACCGGTCTTTGTGGAAATCCTTGGGGGAGGCCTTTGTCCAGCAGTGGACGTCTTTCGGCTGAAACGACGACGACGACGACGTCGCATTTTCCATTTCTGTAGCTAACAGAGGAAATTTAATGCTTTTTTTTTAACGTGGATGCAGACCGCCACCAACTGGCCATTGTGGAAATCATTGGGGGAGGCCTATGTTCAGCAGTGGACGTCGTATGGCTGAAATGATGATGATGAACCATCCTATCCGTCTCTTTTAACCAGAGGACTTCCACTGCTAGACAAAGTCCTTGACCAAGGATTTCCGCAAGGACCATTCATGTACTGCCCGCATCCAAATCCTTCCCGGGACCTTCACAAGATCGTCGGTCCTTCCTATATCCGCAGTTAATAGAATAACGCATGTCCGATTTTTTTTCCGCACAAACTGTATAAAGAAAGCATTATACGCCATGCTATCCTTGAATAAGGCAGTTTGCAGAGAGCCTTTTATCAACTTATAATCTGTGTTATATTTAAATTGTAATACCTACCACAAAACATTCGTCAGTCTGACGGACTAGCTTTGTAGTTCGTACTATGCTATGTAGGCGGTACACGGTGGAAAATAATGCTCGGGAGGAGGTTGTCGTTTGTCTATCGCATGGATAACAATATTTTTATCCATGCGATAGACAAACGACAACAAGTTACTTAATATTCAAAATAAACAAAAATTAAAAGGTAACTTTCGCGAGTTAGGCGCCACCTATTAGCAATTACCGCCACGCAACGATACAAAACCGCTCGTTTCTGCGGGGGTAGGTACTCCGAAAAACGTTATCCGAAGTTTCGAATGTTGCCATCCCTCTCACACAAAGCAACATGCCGGTGACAGATAGACCCGAAACTACTAAACAGCATTTCGGAGTAGCCCTCCTATTTCAGCGACAACTACTAACCAGCTCAGTAATAGGGCATCATGCCGATTGTTCAAGTGGTTAAGTGAACAATTGGACTCACGCAAACTGCGGGTATGATGTAGGTAAATAACGAGGTGTTGTCGACGTTTTACCGAAAATAGCTTGTTTAAAACACGCTTTTAGTGGGATTAAAATAGCTTTGATTTTAATTTGTTTGTACATGCGTGCGTTTTCCGGGTCACTTTTAAAATTAATTGTAATTGTTAGCACATGGCAAGATTTGTGTAATAAAGGACATTGTCAGAAACCGCCTAAAAAACCGCCCAAAAACATTAACCCATCATAATTATTTTCTATTTTTTTTAATACATTAAGCACCCTTTCATTCTAATGGNATACCCTACATGACTTTGTTCACTAAGAGTTAGGTAGGAAAGTAACTGATAAAGTTTTGTTGGTTGACCAATGAGTTTAATTATTGTGATGTAATGTATAATTAATACGTTTTTCTCTTTAAAATGGTTGAAAGTGGAGATGAATGTAAGAAGTATAACTAAATAATTATTTGATTGCCACAAATTCCTTTTAGTACGCAATAAGAGATAATTCTTTATTAAAGAAACATATAGCCTTGTTTAATACATGCAGCTTAAAATTAAAATTAAGTGGGTTACACGTTGGCCTTTAAAGTTTCTAAAAAGCTAGGTTTTACAGTCAATGTCACTGTCATGTGCTACAGAAGCCAGCCAATCTTGTTAGTAAGCGTGCGCGAACAATGACGACACGTTAGGACATGGGACACCATTGATGAAGGTGTGAATGATAGCCTTAACTAGTTTTTCAAAATACAAACAAATACAATTCAATTATCCTTCTACAATACACCTAAACACCTACAAAAGATGCACAATGAAAACAATAAACAATGTATGCAATAACTGCTGCAGTGGCTGTGAAAATTTAATTCGATCAGCGCCACTGCGGACGGATTGAGAGCCCCGCGCGCTAGCATTCGTTATTGCATTTAACTGGTTAGGTTATATGCACCTTATAATGCCTATTGGTAGAGGTTTTTAACGGTGCAGTAAGTAAGATCTGAGGTAGAGAAGATAGAATAATTAATCGATGACACGTTACTTCTTGACGTTTATTTAACTGGAGTAATTAGAAGTTAGAAAAATCAACCGATGATACGTTATTAATACATAGAATTAGAAGTTTACAACTAACTACGTCTACTTAGCACTTCTATTAGCGCCTACTGCCAGCACAGAATAAACATTTGTTCTTCTGTCAGTTCGTTTATAGTCATCAATGGATAATTTGGAAATCAATCAATGGAAATTACAAATTACCCAATTAATATTTATTTGGATATTCTGTCTTCTTCTGTTGTTACACAATGTGAGTTCAAGTTTATGGACATTTTGATTGTCGTTAGTTTTTTTTAGGACGATAACGTGCATAATCTCCTTTCCTTTCAAAATACAAAATGGTTTTCAACAGAGTAATGCACAAAAAGTTTAGCGTTAAAATTTGCAGTGTTTTGAAAAATTCGATTTCATCTTAAAAGCTTTTTCCTAAAACGTGTTTTCTAAATTCACCAAATTCGTTTTCAGAGGAGATTTAAAAGAAAAACGGCCATTAGTTTTTGAACTATAACTCTATTATATTACTTCCTGATAGCACATTTACTCAATACGAGAACATAAAATGTAGTTACTGCTGGTAGACCTGTATCATCATTACCGTAAGGACTCTTTTGAATAAGATAAAAGGGCAGTACATTTTGACACGTGATTTTCCAGGAACGCACAAGGAAAATTTTGGAAAAACAATGGCATATTGCCAACAGCACCAACAGTTAGCAAAGGCATGATTAAAACATCGTATTTATTTTGAAGAGCTTAACGGACCCGCATCAGCACCATAATCATCAAATAATGTTTCAAGAATTATCTATATCTATAAAACCGACTCCAAAAAACCTACACTAAAAAGTTGAAAAATAATTACTAAACCTACTTATTTATTAGGACGAATTAATACCATAAACCGTCAGCCCNTTAAAAGAAATTAGTACCATTAGTTTTCCGCAACATGGCGAGGGTTTTTATGTTCCTGGTCAGGCTATACTTATTGTTATTCTGTGGTTATATGCACCTTATAATGCCTATTGGTAGAGGTTTTTAACGGTGCAGTAAGTACAATGTCTGGGGAAGAGAAGATGGGGAAGGTATGATGTACCATTCTAGATTGCATCTAATTTAACATTAGATTGCAGTCAAATACCTACTTTGCTCTGCATAAAAAACAAAAATGGTGATATTTTAATTAGAATACATAGGATTAGGAGTACACAACTATTAACTACGTATACTTAGCACTTCTATTAGCGCTTTATTAGTGCGTACTACCGTGTACTACAGAATAAACATTTGTTCTTCTGCCAATTCTTGTAGTAATCAATAGTTTTAACTTCATTTCATTAATTACAAATTGCATTTCCTTAGCAAGTATATTACTTATGTTCCGTCTTCCATAAGTTTGTAACACAATGTGATAGTTTGCTCATGATGATAACATGCATAATCTCATTTCCTTTCAAAATACAAAATGCTTTTCATTAGACTAATGCACAAAAAGTTCAGCGTTAAAACTTATAAAGTGTTTTGAAAAAATCGATTTCATCCTAAAAGCTTTTTCCTAAAACGTGTTTTCTAAATTCTGCCAAATGAGTTTTCAGAGGAGATTTAAAAGAAAAACGGCCATTAGTTTTTGAACTATAACTCTATTATATTACTTCCTGATAGCACATTTACTCAATACGAGAACATAATGTAGTTACTGCTGGTAGATCTGTATCATCATTACCATAGGGACTCCTTTAAGTAAGACATTTTGGGCAGTACATTTTATTCGTGCTTTTCCAGGACCGCACATGGGAATTTTGGAAAAACATTGGCATATTACCAACAGCACCAACAGTTAGCAAAGGCATGTCCTACCTACTCAAAACATCGTATTAATTTCGAAGAGCTTCATGGACCCGCATCGGCACCATGATTATTCACAGGAGAATACAAATAATGTTTCAAGAAGTATCTCATCATCATCATCATTTCAGCCACAGGACGTCCACTGCTGAACATAGATCCCCCAATGTATCTATATCTCAAGAAGTATCTATATCTATAAAAGCGAAAGGTCACTGACTGACTCACTCACTCATCACGAAATCTTAGAAACTACAAGTGCTAGGAGTCTCAAATTTTACATGGGGTTTCTTTTAGAACGTAGGTGCTCACTAAGACGGGATTTTCCAAAATTCAACCCCTAAGGGGTAAAACGGGGTCCACGTGTAAGAAGTCACGGGTGACCGCTATTAATAAAATATAAGCTACTTGATGTTACCCAGTTTACAAGGATGTATTTTATTGCATTCAATAGACGACCTGCACGAGTGACCGCGGTATTGTTACGCGATCAAATAAAATGGGGTTCACAATGGCTTCCAAATAGGATGAAGAGATTGTGCACAAACAACTTGGGGCAAGCGTTTGATCGAGTATTAGAGAGCTATTGAGAAGTATTGTTATAACATTTACTGGACACTGGAAATTGTGTAGACAGCACATGAGACTAGTTTTGTTTCAAAATCACTCTTATTATTGCAACATAAGGTATCTCAGTTGAACTAAATGTACATCATTGGATTAGTTACCCGCCTATGAAGATTAATTACTGATTGATTTTATATTAGTCAAATTGGAAAATAAACATCAAC